AACATTTTCTATCCTCAAAGGATGATCATGGAGAAGTGAATGTACTAAAATAGAAATGTGTCTCTGAAAGCAAATTCTTTGAAAAGAAAACATGACAGCTAGGAATAGCAGAACAGGTCAGAATTACAGCTTCCTTGAACACAGTGATGGATGACTACACTGCACTGAGACAAGAGGACAGGAGACATTCTAAAATAGTGTATCGTTATGTGTCACAGAAAGATATTAGTAACATTCTATTAACTCTTTCACGTTTCTGATTTTAATATCAGTTACCTGCTTTTTTTTTTTTTTTTTTCAAGACAGGGTTTCTCTGTATAATAGCCCTGACTATCAACACAATATAAATACTCTCTGAGGATTGATGACATGGTCTGGTTCTAAAACTAGTGGTACTGGATTGTGATTCACCAATTAGGTTTTTCCATAGATTTAATGTTGTCTTTTAGTATCTCTAACTCCCATGTGATCAAGCAATACTACTCTTGGCTAAATATTGAAGAGATTAGAATCACAAAGAAATATTTGTACATCCATGTCCATTGCTACACTATTCACAATAGCCAAGCTATGGAACCAACATGGATTGTTATCAAAAGATGAGCTAATAAAGAACATACAATAGACACACACACACCGAAATTCTATTCAACTATAAAAAAAAAATGAAACTGGGACATCTTTAGGAAAACAAATGGAACTTTAGATCATTATGTTAATAGAAATATAACAGGCTTAGGAAGAAAATTATTACATATTTTTCTCTTGTATGTAAAATTTAGAATTAAATTTATATACACATTTGTGCGAATGCAGACATGTATGTGTAGGGATGAAAATAGAAAGGGGACTATGGGAGAAGTTCTAAAGAATGGGTAGAATAAAAGAACAGAATAAAACAGGAAAAGAAGGCAGGGCTATTTGGAAGAAAGGAGACAAGCAGGAGTGGAAGAAGAAGACAGTGTGGGAGGTGAATAATAGCAAAATGTAATGGTTTATGAATGAAAAATATCCCAGTGAGATTCATTAGCCTGTATGCTAACTTTACAGAACAACAAAATATGAAAGCAATGTGGAGAAGGGCGGGCTAGGATGAAGCTCAGTCGTAGAATCCTTGCCTAGCTTGTGAAACCTTAGGTTTAATCCCCAGTACAGCCCAAAACAAATCTGTTCATAGTAAGAAGAGTTTAATCTTTGAAACTCTGCTACTCACCGAGTTCTGGTCTTCATTCTCCGCTTTTCTTTCCACTGCATGACCTTAGATTCCCTGTGTTCCCCAAAAGGTCTGGCTTTCAGACTCTGCTTCTAATTACCAATTGTCCTTTTTCCTAGCACATCAGTCGAGCCTGGAAATTGTCACCCAGTTCCTTTATTCTTACAATCACTTGTCCTCTATTTTTCAAATGCTTGCTACAGCCACCGCAGCATTCATTTCCACTGTTAGTAAAAGTTTGAACGGTGGCCCATGCGCCACAGGTATTGGTAGTGGTGTTCACTGTCTACCTCCGTCTCTCTCTAAAACCCCGTTGCATGAAAACTGGCATGCAGAGCATTTAATAGGAAGCACTGTTTGACATTCTGTCTGCTTCCCTCTTGTGAATTCCAATGACACGCGGTAAACTATTTCATATTGCCTTATAAGTGACCTGAACTGTCCTTATATATTTTAACCTCTGTTCTTTGGATAATTTCTACTAGTCTTTTACTATGTCAGTGGCCATTTTTCTGCAGCCCATAACCTTATGTTGAGCCTACCCAAGGGCATTTCATTCCAGATATGAGATGTTGAGCTTTTAAAATCTAGGTTTTCACTTTGGAAATCAATCTGGCTTTTTCTCAGAAAATTGGGAACAGCTCTACCTCAAGACCCAGCGATACCACTCCTGGGCATGTAAATACATTTTTGTTTTAATGCCAAGTGTGGGGATAAGGAGCTACCTTAGTTTGTCACAGCTGATAATTGACTCTTGCATCTCAGAAAGGGGCGTGATCTTTGCCAATGGCAGTTAGTAGAATTCTGAGGACTCAGAGCAGGTAAAAACATCAGCACCAGGAGAGAGCCAAAGAAACTCAGAGAAAGACGGCTGATGCTCCCTGTGCTGTTGCTGGCTCATCCTTCTGCTGTGTTTGCTGTTGCTGATTTGCTGGACTGCTAGAAATCTTGAACACTGAGACTGGCATTGCCCCAAGGAACTCGAACACCCTAACCAGTTTTTTGGAAATAGAAAGAGACCCACATCCCTTCTCCCCACTAACCTTCAATCTCTCTCCTACCTAGTGTTGGGGTGTTGGAAGGTATTAGGAAGGATAAGAGGTGAAAAGGGAGGTAGAGGCATAAGAAGCCAATAAAGTAGATAAAAAGTATGCCTACAAAAAATGTAGGTTTTTGTTATTTTTATCATACTTGTTTCTTTCTTATTGGTATTCCCTACCACACTCCTTGCCATCACCCTTTTTTTCCAGTCTCCTAAATGTACTTACAGCTTCTTTAGTGTTCTGCTTTCTTAACTTCATCACTTGCATTTCTTGAGGCCCATTTCTGTGTACTGCAGGATTTGATCGGTGCTGCCTGTGCAAACAAGTGACAGGCGGTAACTGACACGAACAGGGCCGTACAAGTAAAATGACACCACCGCTTGTGATGAGTTATAAACAGAAAAGAGACGATGATGGTGGCTTGAGCTGGGCGGGTAGGTAGCATTGATAACATGGACAATGTCTTGGGATTTGGAGTGTCAGATCTCACTGATAGATTACGGGAGAACATTAAATAATAACCTATAATTATCCTCTGTGAATAAAATGGAATCACTGCTTGATTAGCTGTAACGAGAGAGGCAACTGTTTCAGAAGAGGGGGAACAAGAGTTCTGCCTGTCATGGTCAATGTGAGGTCTCTACTTAGTCCCCAACTCAAGACGCCCAACAGAAACTTTCCACTGAGTTGGAGTTCAAGACTGTGAACATGTATGATACCAGTTTGGAAGTCAAAGGTTTATAGATGCTATTTAAAGGCAAGGGTCTTTAGACAAAAGTCTGAGCCTCTGTATACTTAAACAGGTAGAACAGTGGTTCTCAATCTGGGGGTCGTGACTCCATGGGGGTCACATAGATATCCTGTATATCAGATATTTACACTATGATTTGTAACAGTAGCAAAATTATAGTTATGAAGCGGTAGTGAAATAATTTTTTTTTTAGTTGGGAGTCACCACAACACGAGAAACTGCTTTTAAGGGATGCAGAAGTAAAAAGGTTGAAAAACACTGAACCAGAGTGTTTGCTCTTTGAGCAAGAAGAGGAACATAAGAAAGAGTCTAACGCTAAGTCCAAGGAGGAAATATGAAGAGCATGGTATCTAAGAGATGGAGTGAAGAATGTGGCTGAAAGAAAGAAAGAGAGAAAGGAAGAAAGAGAAAGAGAGAGAGAGAAAGGAAGGAAGGAAGGAAGGAAGGAAGGAAGAGAAAGAAGGAAAGAAAGAAAGAAATAGAAAAGTAATCAGGATGTGAAGTGTTGCTGGTTAATAGGAGAAGCAAGAATTTAATGTATTAATCCACTGAGGGGCTGTTTCTGAAGCATATTAACATATTAATCAATGCTGTATAATCTAATCTCTTGAGTGGCTCAGAATTTTAATTTTGAAAGCGCTTAGCTTGTAATCAGCTATGTTCCTCAGAGTCCTAGCTGAAATCAATGTGAGCATTTATCCTTAATGGTGGTGCTGTCAGTTATAGTGTCAGTATGCTATGTGTCACTTGAACCCATGTAGGGGTTCCTATTCACTGGCCCTTTCCAATACAGTTTATTTAAACGGATCCAATTACTACTCTAATGATAGACTGAGAACAATTCATCAGTGAAATGAACATTTATGTTCTTTTTCTGCTATAGTGAGGTCCTGCTTGCCACAACTACACCGTAACGAATGCGAATGTGCCCAGCAGATACGGTATTTGCTACTGAACCTGGGACTGGATTGCTAAGCCGACTAGTCTCAGCACAATGAAAACTGCTTTCCCTACTCCCCACCCCCAAAAAAACTTATACATTTTATAAATGCACTTTATGTGTTTTTTTTTTTTATAAATGCAATTAAGTTTCTTGAACAAACCGAACCATCTGTTCTAAATCAACAGTTGCAGCCGAGAAACGTCAAACAAAAAACATTATTTTGTAAGAATATGTCTACTATCTCATATCCAATTTTACGCTTATATTCAAGAGCCTCTCTTTCCGAGGATCTGACGTCAAGGACCTTGTTCTAATGACTGTGAATTGCTACATCTCGTCGCGCCCATGGGGTCGCTTCCGTTGTGAAGGTGAAGGTTATGATCTGTACCTACTTAAAAAGGGAAAAAGAAGATAAAGAAGGTGGGAAGACGGTCGTTTGCAGCCTGGTCCGGTCCTCTGCGGGGCCCCGCGACTGCAGCGCGATCGGTACCCGGCGGCCCCGGCTGCCGTCCGCGCGCCCTGCGCGCCACAGGTGCCCGCGTCTGCAGCCGGCGGCGGCGCGGAGCCCCGGGAGGCGCGGGCGGGTCTCCGGCGTGCAGGGCCCGCCCCTCGG